GTTGTTAGTAGGAGACGAGGTTTAGTTTTTCGTTTACGTAATACACCACCTACCTACTACTACACTTTACTTTACTTCCTTCCCCCCCTCCCCCCCCCCCTCTCCTTGGAATTATTTTTCTGGGTAGCATTTACCTGAAGCTGTTCAGGTATTTCTTCTCTAGAATGCTATTGAACCTGCCAATTTTTTTCTCCAAGATTTTTTTTCAGGTTTTTGGTCCTTCCCCAGAAGGCTGGTAATAAGCATATTATTATAGATCTGTTTAGTCTCATCAGTTGCATTGTTTTTTAACTATGAAGTCCTTTCTCACACTCTCACTGGCATTTACTCCAGGTCTGTCAGCCAATTTTTTCAAGAATGCCTATCTGTTCTCAGTTTCATCCCAACATACATCTCACGAATACGCTTGGTTGACTATTCAGGATGAAACTCATTTGGGGTGTCTCATCATGTTGGAGAAGTTCTTCCTTCTCCCAGCAGAATAATCTTTCATCTGGGTGTTGTTGTTTTTTTGCTCCCTCTTCAGTTGGATTCAATTGTCTTCTTCATTTTGGGTTGAGTGGGCACATGGTCTTCCATGCCCATTCACCTCATACTCTTTCTAAAGGAGAGTTTCTTTCCTTTTTTTGGGAACATGTTTCATTCACACCTTTAGTGGGTGCTTCACATTAAATTTAACCTTGCTGAGGATCCCCTGAACTCCTGTATCCATCCCCCTCTCACACTTCTAGTCGATTTCATATGTTGGCTCAATGGAGACAGTAATGGGCATGCCTCTCCCTCCTACATTACTCAAGCTGCATCTGTTTACAAAATGCTTATTTTTTGGGTTTAGGAGAAAATATGTATTTTCTGGAAATCTCGGATCGTTGGTCTTTCATCAAGAGGCAATGAACATAAACATCTTAGAGCTTCTTGCTGTATGTCAGGCTTTGGTTTGTTTCCTACCTTCAGTATTAGGCAAATTGGTCTTGATCTGTTCCATCAATTTGCCTATTGCCTCATACATAAATCAACAAGGTGACACTGGTTCATGTTCGTTGTGCTTCCTAACATTAGAACTCATGTTCTAGCCACATTCATATCACATACGCTTAGTTCCATGTGATGTTCCAGGTGCATTGGGTCTCATCTTAACTTGATTATCTCATCCTGACAGGATCCTTCTCTTGGTGTGATCTTCAATTCCCAAGTTTTCTGGGGGGTTATGCAATCACTTAGGTACTCTACCTCCAGACACTTCTGCCACCCATCTCAATATCAGATTCATTCTTTTATTTCTTTAGTTTCCAGTCCCTCATCCTTTGGCTTTAGGGGTAGCTGCATTTGGTCTTGATTGGACCAACATTTATCTGTACACCTCACCTCCTAGCTGTTTCTTTCCCAGGTTTCTGTCCATCATCCAGTCCACTTCTTGTCATTTCCCTCTGAGAGCTCCTCTCCGGCCAGCTCACACTTCGTTTCCACTCCTTATCCACCTTCTGACAGCACCTCCATTACCACCTCCTCTTTCCCAATTCCTCATTCATCAATTTCAGTTGCTGGTATTTTATTATGAAATCACCACACTTCAGCTTCATGCATGACTTTTTTCTGGTCCTTCACGAGGCGGCTCGGACTATTCACACATGTAGCTTCCTTCCTTTTTCATTCCATATGTCTTTTTCTCTCAAGGTATGTCAGAGAAATTGGAGTCTACTTTGTTGTTGGTCAGTGCACCTTGATTACTCTCCTTCCCATCTAATTATTCCTCATATCTCTGACTTTTTTTACCTGGTTGTTCGACATTGGCTTTTCAGTAACTACTATTGCTGGATATCGAGCAGCCTTATCCAGTACCTCCCATTTTTTTCCTTTATATCTCCTACAATTTTGTTTTTGTTGTGGTTCTTTCAGATCCTTCCCACTCCTCATCCTATTATCCTCCAGCTTGTCATTTTAATATTGTTCTCCATGCTCTTACATGGCCACCTGATCCCTTTACCATTTATCCCTCAAAACCTGTTTCATTCTCCTCTTTTACCTGTGGTCATCAGAGGTTAAATATTTTGCCATTGATACATGTTCTTTGCCAAGATGTCTATGTTCTTCTGTATCTGGATCACAGTTTTCTACCTAACACATCAAAGGATTGTGAACACAATGTCTCCTTTATACACACATACCACCTTCTATTTCCCTCTTGCATTCCCATTCAGATTTGGATAGACTTCTGTATCCTGTATGAGTTCTCATGTGTTGTTCTGTCTCCACAGCTTCCTTCCATGTTTCTTGTTCCCATTTATTCATTTCATGGAACCATTCATCTTAGAGATATTTCGCCTAACACCTCCCAGGTTTGCATTTGCCAACTTGTCAGACTGACATATTCTTCCTAGTTCTCCTGGTTCCCAACATTTTTTCCCCATGTCATCTCATCAAGTACAGCACTTTACCTTTTTTTTCTGGCTTTTAATTTCTCTCATCCTTTGGAAGACATCATCCAGGCTGGCATGTGGACCACGCCGACCACATTCTTCTCCCACTACCTTCATCATGTGGCCGTGTCCTCCTCATCTGGATATCACATACCACCTGTTCCCATACTCCACACATCACTTCAACTGTGAGTGGATAAGTGTTTTATATTTATATGTTTCCCTTAAAGGGTCATAACACTTTCTAGATTGGATCCTGCTCTGTGTCGAGTGGTACCTGTCCAGGTATACTAATTCTTAAATCTGCATTCTGTGGCCTTTAAGGTCTATTACACTCACTTTTGAGTTGGGGGTGTTCCACAAGACTGCTTATAGGTTCTTCCTCGGGTGTTTTGTGTCACAAATATGTCCGACCCTGCAACTCCTTCGATTATAAATCAGGAATGGTCTGCTTTTAAAGTAGGGTTTCTTGGTCACCTATTATACTTTCTCTGGTGTTATGTTCCTCCAGACTCTCCAATGCATTTACCCCCTTCTTCAAGTACAGTATAGGAGTCCTTAACACTTATCAACTTCTAGCCACTGAGATGATGGACCATGGAGGCTTCCTTGTGAGTGTGCTCAGTCCCACTCAGTTGAATATAGGGTTTTGGTGTTCTGCAGGTGTAGATGCTTTTGCATTCTCCTCCTACACTGTACCTAATGTAAATTTCAAGATTTTGTTTGGTTTTGGACTGGATGAATCCATCCAAATTTAATTCACCCCTTTGGCTGGGAAACCTCATTCTACTGCCACCTGGATGTCGATTTCTACTTGATATGATGTTGGATTTGAGCTGGACCATCCAACATATGTTCTCATGTGTGAGTGGGCTGGGATCACATTCCTATTGTGGACTGTATGATACATTGCATTTTCACCTTCCTACTGTCATCCAGATGTGTGTTACTGGGGTAACAAGTGTTGGCTATACATACATGATGGCTTGAGTTCTTGGAATGAATGTGCTCTTTCCTTTCTGGTTCATGAGTCTGAGATGGGCCAGATGATCCTTTTCCAGTTCCGATGGTTTTGAATTGAGCTGATCTTCCAACTATGATCCCACATGCCCTAGCCAGGAGTATATGGGAAGGGTTTTGTAGGAAATCTCCGGGTTCCCCAAAGGGTGGAGTGAAAAATTTGACCATTTTGCAAACCTTAGGACTGAGACAATTTGTTTTGTACCATTTAAAAGTTTTTGCAACCAGCACACAAACACTGAACTTTATTATATAGATATATAGATCAAGCTAGTGTATGAAACTTCGAAAAAGTAATATATAGTGGTAACAAAGAAGTATCAGGATTAGTGATCTTAACTGACTACAGTGTGACAAATTGGAACTTATCTTAAACATTAAAAAAGTTTAGTCAGAGAAAGAAGCCAGTCATTTAAAATGACATGAGAAAAATAAAACTTCAGACATTCTCACTGAAAAAGTTTATTAACAGATGTTCATTTAACCTTGCCAAAAAATCCATTATTTACTGACTACTATACATACTTTGTATAATACAAAATATTTGAATAATAAGGAATACTTGTGTTGTAGACATTCAGATTTTAAACCTATAAACCTAAGATATAATATGGGTTTTGTGTTTTTTCCTCTTAGTCATCAATATTGTAGATGCTCTAAAATTTGTATCTGCTTAAAAACAAGTTCTCACATAATTTATGAAAGTAAATGTTTACTCCTTAGATGAAGTAAGTTCTGTGCTTACATAATTCTATACAATCACAGGGAATCGACCTCGTCAAAGAAGGCCTTTGAAAGAGAGCATCTGATGGGTATGAAGGCAGATGGTTGCTTTTGACTCATACTGTTTAACTTTATTAATTAGCCACACATACAAATTCCCCATTAGCTATCCAGATGTCATATTTTTAAGTATATTCAGCTACTGAAATTCTACTGCTAATGATCAGATCATTGTAATTTCACATCTGAATTCACTTTCCAGATACCAATTTCAGCAGTGATCAACAGATGGTATAATTTCAGGAATAAAAAAAAATTACAAAACTATTCTGACACAAGTCATGGAAATAAATGTTTAATCTGTAGGCTTGACTTGTGAAATGAGCCCTGTACTCACATGCATATATGTATATACTGTTGTGAATTTAAACTACTGACAATTTTATATTATTTAAAGGATTTGAAACAGCAAGGTCTTTTGCATTTCATGGAGCTGAGGTAGTTTTAGCTTGTCGAAGTGAAGTTAAAGCACAACAAGCCATTGAAGAGATTAAAAAAGAGAGGGTAAGTGATAAAAGAAAAATTATTCAAAGCAAAATAGAAGTTTTTATTTTACTAATATTGATTTTGTATTTGATAACATTTTAATTTTCTATACTTTTGAAACAAAGTTAAGCATTTTTTATAATTGTATATTTAGTATTACATATCAAAATATTTTGTTTCCAGAAAAACATTCCGTTCGTTTTTTTTTATCACTTATTCAGCCTCAAGCAAAGCTCCATTATCTTCACCTTGACTTGGCTAGTCTGCAAAGTGTTCAAGTATTTTCTCAGCAATTTCAGTTTTTAGGACTGTAAGTACAGTTACTGTAACACAATCCTTAGAATTATTTCTATCTGAGTGAGTAACAAAAAACTGAGTTTAAAGAGCTCAACAGTGATAGAAAAAACTGATGAACTGTGACAGTGAGATTCGAGACAGTTTATTAATATTTATAAGCTTACAAGTAGGATAAGCAATAGTCTGTTTTTAACTGTATCAGTTGAACAATTGAAGGTGTATTAGGTGATATTTATTTGCTAGCATATATATATATATATATATACGTGTGTGTGTGTTATTAGCCCTTGAATTATTGAGTGGTCCATATGAATTTTGTTAGCTTTATAACCCTATCGTTACGCTGTGTATGATGCACGGTTTTAGTGTCTTACATTCTAAATTTTATTAGCTACTTTTTGTTTATGTTATACCAATTAGAATAGCATAACATCTTAGCTAATACTCCATATCTTAATAACATATAAGTTTTAAGTTCTTAATTCTACAAGGCAATATTTTAAAAAATCCTGAATTTCCTTTAGTGTGACCCACATGACACATTTTATTGTAGCATGTCATCATCTCTATTTTATCCACCACCCCTAGATAAAGTATGAAATTAAATGTAAACTACTCTCTATAAAATTGTCATTACTCAGACAAATCATAATTTTTATAACCTTAAATTTTGTTTGGTTACAGAGCTATCACATAGAAGATCAGACCCTTCCTGCCACATCTACCTGTCATATCCTCTCTTTCAGAATTCACTAATAGTTCTCTCTTACATTTAATTATATATTACCTATAACCAAAAGAAAGTCAAGGTTTTCATCTATCAAATGATGTATTGTATAATAATATGTTCTGAATGGTTAAATTCCAATATCATTCAAAGTACCAACATCATTCCCATGAGAAAGTTAATGACTAGCTTGGATGAATTTGTAACTTCTTTTGTTCCATAGTTAGAAAGCCTGCAAAATTTTGAGAGGTAAGGGAATTTGTCTACTTTTTGTTTCTTAGTAGTGTAAATTTTTTGGTGCATTATTTAATTAAATAAAAATTATTAAGTGCATTGCTATCATTAGTATAAAAAAAATTAGGTTAACTCTCTTTGACAATTGACAGCAAGAAAAAAGAAGATTGGTGAAGTATTTTATATCTTGTTTTTCATGTTTATTCTTTATGTATAATTATAAAAGTAACTAAAATGTAAATATAGGTATCCATTTAGGTTAGTTAAGATTAGATTAGGTAAAATAAATAATAATAATAATATAATAAAAATGTTTCAAGAGGCACACACACATGAGCAACTCATAGTAGCTACTTAGGATAAACACAGTTTCATGTTACAATTTGAAGTCATTCTAGAAAGAAAAAAAAGGGTAATTTTGATTTATCTTGAATTTTTTTGGCAGTTATGAGATTGGTCGAATTGATCAATTCCATTTCGAGGTAGGGTAGAGAAAATAACAGATAAAATATAAAGTTTTGCTGAAAAGAAACGTTTGAAATGTATTTAGGAGATTTTAGAGATTACACAAAGGAAATTTGAGATTTTTGAGAGGAGGAAAAGTATTTTTAATTTTAACATGAAAATTACTTTGCACATGGACTATTCAGAATAAATACTCAATATATTCTTGAACAAATCCTTATTTTATTTTATTAAAAATACTTGAATAAAAAATATGATTTTTTTGTATGTGAAAGACTTGTAATGTTAACTGAAAGACTGCCAAATTTTATGAAGATATACACACTATATTGAAAGTTAGAAGTATTAAATCTATAAAGACTTTAAATGAGTACAAAGAGGTCACATGGTTGGTCAAATTACCCGAGTCCGTATTCAGAGAGTTAAACATATTTTTCTAAACTATTTATTCGACAAGATACTTGTGGGTCCTTAGCTTTGTTGCTTAAAAGGTCCCTAAAAACATACGAGTCACATAAAACAATTTAAACAAAAAATAACATAGATATTACAATTCATTCCACTAGGACTCCCTATATATTGACATAGAAAATGAGTGATTTCATCCAGATTTTTGTTACATTGAATTGTTCAATATCATGCAATATGTGCCCCCCTCTCTACTTTCTGGTAATTTATTTGAAGCTTAACCAACCAGTGGTTGGCAATGTTTATGATATGGATAAAATAATTTAAATAACAAAACCATTGTTTTCCTAATTATTAAATTTATTCAAAAACTCTTGTTAAAAACATTTTCAAAACATTGACATACATAATTACCACATCTGTTTTTTCACTTGTTGAGATGAAATTAATTTTTTGGAGTTTCTTTTGTGATCATTCCTAATCACCACCCACCAGTTCAGTTGGACACGTTATATGAAAGTTTTGTGTTTTTTATGGCTTATAATGTAAGTAAATTAATATCTATAATTATTTGCAAACTTTTCTCTGAATTAAAATACTTTTATTTGTGAGCTTTCGACCCTCTTACTGGAGCCTTCATTGTAGCCTAAGGAAGTATTCAGTAAGAGGGCCAAAAGCTTGTAAATATAAGAAAAGTATTTTAACATAAAGAAAAGTCCATGTATAATTTTACATATAAAGGTTTTCTAAAGTTTACTTAAGTCTAAATCATTAATTAACTTCTGAAATTAGGAAGTTCAATGTAATAATCAATTTTCTTTATATAAGAACTTTTTAAACATTATATTTGTAAATGGCCATGTTGTGCATTTCATTATTTTCTGAACAAGTGTAGGAGTTTAGTGCTCTCTCTGAGGATGGGGCCTATGCTAAGTATAGAAGTAAATATAGATCAGAATATCTTTGGATGTAGCAAGGCGTATATGTTTTTTCAAACTCAAAATGTGCATGGTTATGCTGATGTAAGCAAAATAAGAAGAAGGATATGCTTAGTATTAAAATGTATGGGTGGGATTATTAGCTACTAAGTTCTCAAATTATTTATTTTATCAGACACTTTACTGATAAAATAAGTAAATAAAATATACATTACTCCTTGAGAGTCGGAAGTTTACCAGTTGTCTTATGTACACAACATAAGAAATTTGACTGAACTTGTTGTTCTGTAGGGAATGGTTCATTACTTAGGTGGGTGTGCTTTTAACGAAATGACTGCTACTGTAATTCCAAACTAAATGTTAGCTCTATGAAATGGTCAAGTAGAGCACATACCTTGGCCACTCCTTAACATCCAATGCTTATTACTAATGCAATCTTTATTTGGTAGTATGTTGCTGTCAATTCCAACTTCCAAGTTTTCTCATATTACTAGTTGTAATTTTATTATGTGCTATATCACTGGCAAAACCATCTCCATCCCACCTTGCACTGTTTATAACATTTTTGTTTTTCTGTGCAGTGCTATCCTAAGAACTGTTCAAAGACTTTGCTGTTGCTTCTTGTACTTATTAAACAAACTGAATATATGTCCAAGCTGAAATTTTGTAAGACCAGTCACACTATGATAAAAAAAAAGAAAATGCTTTGCATTACATTTTGAATGGCTAGCCCATTCAAGTGTAAACTTGCCTGTTAATCAGTTATACTAACCAAAGAATAATTAACATTTTGAAGAAACACTTAGGGAACTGGTAGCATGCTTTGCTCTTTCATGGCATGGAGTTTCTGTATTGTATATATTTCCTTGTTCATGCCTTTATGTTTTCCTTGAACCTCTTTTATACTGTTTACCAAAATGCATTATATATAAACAGGAAAGACTAATGATAAAACTGTAGTTTTGTATTTTTGTGCTTGTATAAGCGATGTTGATATTGCTGTACTTGTCAATGGTGAACTGATTTTCAACCTTGAAGCACATTATTTTACAGTCATTATTCTCGTGTGGGAAAAAATATGTAAAATGAAATTAATCACATTTTCTAAGTTGGACAAACATTGGGGCCTTTTTATGTGAACTAGCTGTTAAATAAGTTAGCATGATTAATGGAACATGCTTTAGTTTGTGAAGACATTACATGTACATTTGAAACTTGCCATTATTAATTTGTATATATAATTTATTAATAGTTCATGTGTTTTGATTTCTTGGTAAGAATACTAGAGCTTCAGGAGAGGATTGTAGATCATACTTTAAAAAAAAATCACAAAATTCAATGAGCCAACAGGATATTCTATCACTTAGATAATATAATTTACAATTTTGCCATTGTCATGTTAGACAGTTGACATATTTTTAGAGTGCTTTAAGTTGTCACTCTCAAAAAATACAGTAAATTACATTTTTTAGCATACTCTACTAAATACTTGTTGTTTTTTAATTTTCAAAATTAATATTTACACACTAAAACTTTATAACCTTGCAATAGGGAGTAGTGAAAGGGGAGTGACAAAATATTCATTGTGTTATTTAAATAAGAAAGTGATTTGTTATTTTAATTTTTATTTATAAGTAAGTTTTCTATAAACTTTTGTGAAACTGCTGTATTTTATCCATGTTTTATATTGGTTTGATGTGTTAAAACCTTTAAGTTAGTATTGTATATAGTATTTGTAATTTGTAACTGACTTTTTTGATATGAGAAATGAATTATTTTCAAAACATTACACTGAAACTGCAAGAATCAAGTTATTTGTGGTTATTTTAGTTAACACATGTTTAACTTATTGTTGGCAGCAAGTTTAGTGAAATTCTCTACTTTATAGTCCTCTTCACATCTTGATACTAAATGCTGGAGTGTTTAGTCTGCCTCATTCTTTGACTGAAGATGGACTAGAGACAACATTCCAAGTTAACTACTTAGGACATTTCTATCTAGTGCAACTACTAGAGCCTATTCTAGTAAAATCAGCTCCAGCTAAAGTTGTAGTTCTCTCTTCAGAAAGTCATAGGTGAGCCAATGAGTTCTAAGTATTTTTTAATTATGTGTACTAAAGAAATCTGTAATAATTTAAACTTTGAATGTATTTTTGTGATTTAGTGACTGTATCAAACTTTCCAGTTCAAAACTGTTAGATGGATACATCAAAACTAATCATCTAAAGTATATACAGTTAGGTTTTACCATAACAAAGCACAAATAGCTTAGCTTTTCACCAAAAATATGAAATCAAGTTTTATAGAACTTTGTGTTTGAAAAAAAAATAAAGGTGAGTTGAAAATCACTTTAGGTGAATGATTTTCTCTGACAGTTTGTGTCATAAATGGTTAATTTCAAACAATTTTAATATTTAGACATAATATTAAATTTCTCAAAGTATATTAATTGATTATCATGCAAACTCATCAATTTTAAATAATGTAGTAAGATATATGTAATATACTCTTTGTGAATGAAGAAAATATCTGTTTAAACATATTATGATTAATTTGTCTGTATTGTGTCCAGACCTGAATATAATTACTCTTATTTATGAATTAAGTCATGAGCATTGATTACTCTTCCAAATAAACATAGTTTTAAATGCAATATACCTGTATTGTAACCTCCATTTTATAAATTCAACTTTGTGCCAAGAAATAGATTTAACTTCTCCACTTCCAACTTGTACCCTCCTCTCTGCATAATTTTGGATAAAATTTTTCTTTTTGCAAAATATCTTCATGTGGCTTTGCCTCCATTTATCCTTTTCTTCAATAATTTCTTTAATACCAAATAGTCACATTTTCTCATGACACTATATGTTCACATCATGTTCCCTTTATCATTCCATGAAGGGGTTTGGAACTTAGGTGAAAATTTAGCCTATGTTCTTGCTTCTCAGGAATTACTTTTATTATGAATTTGGAAATTTTTGTTATTAATAATCATGAAGGTTTTAATTCAGAAAATTTATCCCAGGATGTTACTGTTTACCAAATTGCTGAAAATTGTCTTTCTCATGATAGATGTTCAATTGAAGATTTTTTAGTTTCAAGCTCTTCCCTTTAGTCTAGTATTTATGTTCATAAGAATGGTGATGACCATGGTATCATTCTTTCAATAGCAAAATTTTCATTTTCATCCCAACAATTGGTAGTTCTTTTTTCCACCTAGTCAGAAACCGAGAAGTATACAGATTCTCCTTTTCTTTGTGAGTTTCAGAAGAACTGTGAACACGTGGCAGGCATATTAACACTATTGAATTGTTGAGATATATCTGACTTTGACTCTTGTCAGAGATGTTTACAGCTTCTACCCTTGAGGATAGTGAATTTGTAAACCTGAATCTGACAGATTTTGCCTTTCATGTTTGTCTCACTCAGAAATTTCTTGCTTTGATTGTAACTCCAATGTCTATTGTATATTTTATTCTTTTGGTTATGGCTAATCTACAGTTATTTCATTCAAACTTTACATCTAAGTGGATGTGTTAACCCTTTTGCATTGTGTAGTCAAAGTGCACATATCACAACCTTTAATAAGAGTTATATTCAAAATGTAATTAAACTACTTTATTATCAATGTATATGAATAAACTTGGCATCAAATGTAGCTAATAAATAAAATTTTAATATTATATACTTAAGTTTTTAATTTCATAAGCAAATATTTAAGAAATCCTCAATCTCTCTCTCCTAGTATGAGAATTGTGACATTTGCTCTCTAGGTCTTCCCTCTTCTCTAATTTATTTACCACCCCTCCAAAAAGTATGGAATTTAATGTAAATTACTCATTATAATATACTTATTACTCAGGCAGAGCATAATTTTTATACCCTTCAATTTTACTTGGTTACAGAGCCATAAACTAGAAAATTAGACCTCTCTTCGATGTCCATGTTTCACATTCTCTCTTTCACAAATTGCCAGTAGTTCTCTCTCATGTTTAATATTATATTGTTTATAACGAACAGAAATCCAAAGTTTTAATCTATCAAGTGACATATATATTACATTGTTTTCTCTACAGATAATTGTGTATTTTATTTCGAGTTCAAACTTTATTCTCGTGGGAAAAACATCAAAGAGCTTAACTGAATTTTTAGACATTGTCTGCTTTTTACCTGTTATTTTTCTGTGTCCTTAAGTGCAGTATTGAAATAAATAATTTAGTGTGGTAGTTTGGTTAGTATAAAAAAAAAGTGTCACATGATAAATGATGAGTGTGATGTAGAGCAATTAACATGTGAAGATAAGTTATTCTACCTGAAGGAAAATTGCATAGAGAGGGGTAGAATGATTTGGAAGGGAAAAAAATTGTTTGTAATTTAGCACAAACCAGGTGTCATTAATTTTCAATTATAGTAGAGGTAAGTATCTCTTTGAACTTCATTTTGATTCTAAATTATTGATATCACTGTATGCCTGTGACAAATGTTATATCCTAGATATAATTTTAAATATCTCTCTTATGATAGTCTCCTCAATCTACTGTAAGAATCTATGTTTTTACTAAAATTTCAGTAAAGCTTATAAAATATTTTTACAACACACCTATCACCATCTTCTTTGTACTTATAAATTATTTAATGTCATTGAACACTTTTCATGTTTGAAATATATATGCAGTTGTTCATTTTTCTTTTATGTGTGTATATTTTTTGTCTCTGCAAGAAAGCTCCAAGTTGGCAATAATATTGTTTTAGTTAACTTACTCATATTATAAAATTTTAAATAAAGTGTACTCAGAATATTCTTCAAAGATCTAACATGTTAACATTTCAGAGCAGTTCCTTGTGGGTAATTAAGTAGCTTCAGGCATTTCTATTATTCAAACTCATACTGAACATTTTACTGTCAGAATGTTAGTCTTATCATTCCTTGCATTATTGGCTGCATGAACTACATGCATTTTACTGTAATTACAGATTATACACACACACACACACACACACACACACACACACACACACACACTACTCT